TATGATAATATGACAAACTGACAGATATTATCATTTGGTAAACAGTACCTTTACTACTTGTAGTCTCTTGAAACTTTTTCAGAAAAATAAAATGTATGTGTTTGTGTGTGTGTGTGTGTGTGTGTTTGAGAGACAGAGAGTGGAGGGAGGGAAGATGGATTTTTCTAGTGATGTTAGAGATAAATAGTATAAAATAGTGCAATAGTACTGTAAGCCTTAAAGGTTGTTAGTACCTCTTATATTGAACTTGGGGTCCTTTTTGTGGCACTGTAGGAGAAGTACTGAACTGTTAACGATAAGGCTGGTGTCTTGAACTCACCATCTGCTCCTCGGAAACCCTGTACAGGTCTGCTATGAGTCAGAGCCTATTCTACAACACATAAGAAAACCAACAACGATCTTGAATTTACCTAAAAAAATTACTTTGCTGTCTTTAATCTCTATAATGAGACTCCTTAGGTCACAACTATCTAGGAACTATTTACCTATTTATCACTTGTATTTTTTTAAAAAAAATTAAATTATTTCCCCCTTCTGTGAAGGCAGGAGGTCAGGAGAACTTTATTTTGAGACTTGAATTATAGTCTTCATATTATAGAACACAGAAATAATTCTGCATCTTAGTCACTTTCATTATTTGTCCACTGTCTAAATTTTCTTTCAACACCGGTAAAACAGAGTCAGCTGGTTTTTATCTATTTAGAGCCCTTGTAGTTCATTGATTTTATTTCATGTTGTGCTCAAATCAACCACCTACATTTTACAATAACTTAGAGGCATTTTCTTTACTGTGTTCTCTTTATTGTTGAGTCTCACCATATAATACTGATGAGTTTCATCAACTAAGTGACACAGATTCTGTTCCTATTGTCACACACATTCTGTCATAACCATGAATCACCTATGATATTGCCTCATCTACTGTTTTTCAGGAAAAGCAGAGGTTTCTGACAGATGTTCTGCATGAAGTGATGCTGCTTGACGGCTTGGCCAGTTCCCATCCAGTATCACAGGAAGTGCTGCAGGCAACAGATATTGACAGGGTGTTTGACTGGATCGCGTATAAAAAGGTGGGAATAGATAAGATGCAAGTGCCAACTGGATAGTTCACTATCCAGGATAGCCAAACTATTCCATACTGCATGTTTTATGTTCATTTCCTCTTCCTGACAGATAGAAATGAACTGTGAGTTGGAAATATGGTCACTAGATTCATGTTATATTATGAGTTAGGACTTTGCTTTATATATCAGTAAATTAGAGATTACTCTTTGCCAAGTAACGCATGGAAATATTGTTAAGTCCTAATGAGCAAATATCTGGAGAATCACTAGATTCATGTTATATTATGAGTTAGGACTTTGCTTTATATATCAGTAAGTTAGAGGTTACTGTTTGTCAAGTAACACATGGAAATATTGTTAAGTACTAATGAGCAAATATCTGGAGAATCAAGATGAAGTTGCTGCACAAATAGTATTATGTAAGTGTGAGTTTTTATTATAAATAATAGGAGAACTGGCTAGTATCAAGACACTGTTTTCCAGGAGTACTCCTTACATACTTATTTTGATTGGCTAATGCAAATCAGTGTCGGCAGTTACATAGCACATATATTTTATAAACTTTATTTATGAGGACATTTTTGGGAATTAAGCATCCTTCCTGGAATTAAGAATAAAAAGCAAAAAAATAAAAATGAGACTTTGGGAAGAGAGAAATTTTGACCCATTAACTGAGCCCTAGTGGTTCAATGGTTAAGCACTCAGCTGCTAACCAAAAGATCAATGGTTCGAAGCTACAACCTGCACCAAGGGAGAAAGATGTGGCAGTATGCTTCCATAAAGAGTTAAAGTCTTAGAAATGCTATGGAGTCGTTCTGATCTGTCTTGTTGTGTCTGTATGAACCTAATTGACTTAGGACAATAGGTTCGGTTTATAGTTTTGACCAATAGCTAAACATAGTAATAGTATATCTTACATAAACTTTACATTAGGGTATGCTTTTTTCCTTATACCTTTATCCTTCATTTCTATTTTTAACATGAGAATTTGCAGTCAGTGTTTAATACTTAGTATAACAGAAAACCTCTTTTTAGATTATTGATCATTACACTGATTAAAAGTTGATTGTTTTGATGTTTTATAAAAATAAGTAAAATTTGGAAACATGGCATAGTTAAAATACATATTAAATTTATATATGAGTTGTATATGAGCTTACTAAAAATTCAGTGATTAGAACTTGTTATATGGGTGAATTCATTCAAAGGTATCAATTCTTTAAATGTAACACACATAAACAAAAACTTATTAGAATATATGTAGCTCAAAATGAATCCAGAGGCATGTTAATAGTTATTCCTCAATTCTAAAAGACAATTTGTAATTACCTGTTCTATTTCAGCATGAGTAAAATCAAGAAGATGTTCTTTTGATTTAAAATGTTACTAAGTGTGTTTCCACAAATAAATAACACCTATCTTGTATATGGGTTAATGTGCTGGACTGCAAGGTCAGTTTGAGCCACAAGGTGGGTGGTTCAAACTCACCATTCGCTCCTCAGAAACTCTATACAAGATCACTATGAATCGGAATCTACTTGATGGCACTTAACATTCCATATTCTAAGCAAGTCCTAGTGGTACAGTAATTAAAACAGTCCGTCACTAACCAAAAGTTCAGTGAGTAGAACTCCACAGCCTCTGAGTGCGATAAGATGTGACAGTCTGCTTCAATAAAGATTTACAGACTTAAAAACACTCTGGGTCAGCTATGCTCTGTCCTGTAGGATCACTGAGTCAGAATTGGCCCAGGGTAGTGGGTTTACTTTAACTCATAGTCCCTAGAGCCATTTTAAATTTATTCAACAAGCTCAAGAATCACAACTGTAAGAAAAAAGTGAAGATAAAATGATTATCATTTTATCCTCTCTACAGGAGCTCTGGTAGCGTAGTGGTTACGAATCGGACTGCAAACCTTAAGGTCAGTGGTTCGAAACTATCAGCTGCTCCGCGGGAGAAAGATGAGGCTTTCTACTCCCGTAAAGATTTACACTCTCGGAAACCCTATACAGGGTCGCTATGGGTCGGAACCGACTCGACGGCACTTAACAACAACAACAACAACAACATTTAGGTGTGGGAATACTGGTGGCACTGTAGGATACATACTGGATTCTAACTACAAGGTTGACAGTTCAATCCCATAAACTGCTCTCTCTGGGAGAAAAATGAGGTTTTCTCCCACTAAGATTTACATCCTTGGAAACCCTATGTAGGGTCATTAGGAATCAGAACTGACTTGAGGGACTTAATAACAACAATTACACTTAGGTGCCGATGCTAACCTAAGTATAAATGTGAAAAATTAGTTTAGTATGCTACAATTCTCAGGACCCCTACCCATCATGACTTATTTTTCACTAATCATATCTCTTTATATTTTAATACCATTTGAAATGCTTTTTTAAGTGATGGTAGGATCCAGCCATTTACTATGAAAACTTCTCAGGACACTCTCCCTCTGTCTCCCTTCCTGCCTTCCTCTCTCCCTGTCTCCCTCACTTCCTTCCTTACTTTGACAGCTATATTAAAGTATAATTGAAATATAATGAATTGCACTTATTTAAAGGGTATAATTTGATATGCTCTGACATAGTTATACATCCATGAAAATAAGTTCATGAGCAGATGCATTATCCTGAAAGTTATCTAATTTCCCTTGGAAAACATGTCTCATAATCTCTCTTCTTTTCTTCATTGAGCTCCTGTCACTATAGATTAGTTTATATTTTTGAAAGTTTCATATAAATGGAATCGTACAATGTGACCTCCTTTTGTCTGCCTAATTTCTCTCAACATGATTTTTTAAAAAATATATCCACTATATGTTTACATGTAATGTAGAATGTATGAATGTACTAAAGCTTGTTCACCCATTCCCTTTTATTGACATTTGTGTTGTTTCTTGTTTATGGCTATTACCAATAAACATCAGTAACTGCTATGAACATTCATGTACAAGTCTTTGTATATGCAAATGTTTGTTTTTTCCTTGGGCAAATATATGGATATTGTCTTTGTTATCTAGTGCTGCTATAATAGAAAAACCACAAGTGGGTGGATTTAACCAATAGAAATGTATTCTCTTGAATTTTAGGGAACTAGAAGTTTGATTTCAGAGCATGAGATCTTGAAAAAGGTCTTTGTTCCATTTCAACATCTATAGGTCCAATATTCCTTGGAATTTTCCCTATTTCTTGGCATCAATCTTCATCTAGATGTAGGAGATTCACAGAACAGAGGCCCTAGGACAGAGAACACACTCCACTCATGGCTCTTCTTTCTTTCTTGGTGGCAATGGGTCCCTCTATCTCAGCTCAATTCTCTCTCCTTTTATATCTAAAAGAGATTGACTTAAGATGCAACCTAAACAGCAGTGACATCTCACACCAGCAATAACAGCAAAGTTCAAAAAAGCACAGGTCAACAAATACTGGTGATGATG